AAAAAAAACAAAAAACACTAGCAAAACAAAGAGCAACCGAGAAAGCAAAAAGAAAGCAACACAGTGTAACCAAAACATGTATACTAGCAAAACAAAGGGCAACCAAAAAGTTAAAAAAAAGTGCAACCAAAAAAGCACTAGCAAGACAAAAAGCAACCAAGAAAGCAAATAACAAAAAACATAACGAAAAAAAACATGTGCAACAAAAAAACAAAACAAAGAGCAACCAAGAAAGCAAACAATAAGAAGGTGCAACCAAAAAAGCACAGCCGGGCTTTCTGGTGCACTTTTCGGAAGAGTCCACTTTCTGGCGCACTTTTTTGGGAGGGACCACTTTCTGGTGCACTTTCGGTCACTCTTTTTTCGCTTTTGTTTGCTCGTTTTTCGTGCTTTTTTTTGGTGGAAAAAACACAAGCGAAAAAAGAGCGACCAGAAGTGCACCAGAAAGTGGACCCTCCCAAAAAAGTGCACCAGAAAGTGGACCCTTCAGAAAAGTGCGCCAGAAAGCCCGGCTGAGTGCAGAAACCTTAGGGACCTCTTTGTTTTGCTTGTGCTTTTTTGGTTGCACTTTCTTTTCTTTTTTGCTTTCTAGGCTCTTTGTTTTGCTAGTGTTTATTTTTGTTTGTCTGGCAGACATAACATGAAAGATCCACGTCGAGCCTGGCTCCATGTGGGCCTCTTCCCGGGTGTAACAATGATTCTTCCAGGCTCGTCACCGTCGCACAACAACAGACCACCGACGACGTGATGTCAAGGCTTCAACGGCCGAGGACGTGGATGGAGAATAGATGGCACAGCCTCCAAGAAGGTGGTATATATATGCACATCTATGAAAAAGCAGCTTGGCGTTTCTACCATCTACTCTGAAACCAAGTCAGTGTTGAGTTTCAACATGTTTATCATGTTTCCATTTAAGATTCAACATTCCAAGTATCCTTTTGTAATTGTGTTATGTTCCATGTGCCCTTCCATCATGTTGAAAACACGTCTCGCTCTAAAACAAAACAACCCCTGAACCGAGACTATGCGTTCTTCTTTGACCTTCTCGACTCTAATCTTCTCCACAGCCACAGCCCTTCCAAATTGTCCTACGGCCCCAAGGCTTGACCTCTTGGAGGCTCCTGGATACTGCACACGGTACGCCATAGTATGATTGTAGTCCTTCATTTTGGAGACCTAGTGGCACATGCAAACCCAAGTCACATCACTGAATCCTGCTGGTCTGGTCCCCCTTGTCTGCTCCGTCTTCATGCACGGCAAGAGGCTAGCTGACCCTCATGGCGGACCCTTTTCTCCACTTAATTCCATCCTTCCAAAAAAAACACATGAATTCCGCCACCTCAGTCAATCATCACTCGCCTGCCTCATCCCGATCCAACCCTGCACTCTCCCAGAATCCTCCCCAACTAAGCACCCTCCAACAGGAAGATGATGATCGCTGAGGGTTTGTTGTTGGACCCCAGCTCGAAGCCCTTGGTCTAACCTGTAGAGCCGGGTCCCACGGATGGGTCGTATGGAATCGAGGCGCTTGTGCCAAGCAAAGCCGGACGAATTTGGCGTCCGCGTCGCTGAAGACGATCATCAAAAGCTGTTCCTTCTCCTGGCAGTCCCAGGGCATCCAGTTACGACTATATAGAGCTGGCAACGTTCCAAAGACTAGAAACCCTGGTTCCTTATATGGTGGTTTGCCTGGGATCCACCTGATCCAGTCCAGATGATGTGTGGCGTGAAATCCACTGGGGGGCGGCAACATGTCGGGGAGAATTAGTACAGTATAGACACAGTTAGACCCTGAAAACCCCAGTCCATCCCAGTCCAATCCTCAAGGAGGTTTTGGGAGCAGCATACCTTTGGAAAAAACAAAAAACACTTTTAGCGCTTTTAGGGGCTACCTGGGCCTGCCAAACAAATTGGTCCAAAGGCCAAAACGCTGGCGAAGCACTGGACTTAGGTTTCGGTCTCCAAGTCTTAGGAAGGGCCTGGCCTTTGGAAGAACAGCTGGCGTCGTAACGATGGCAAGACCTGGAGTTCGTTGCTGGATGGAGATCGTTGAGGAACAGGATGAGACTCTGAAACACCGACTTCCCTCTTGTACTCCCTCTACCCTCTCTCCAACAAGCAAAACAACACCAGGACCCACAGGCGTTCATAGACACTCCTTGGCCTCTTTTCGGGACAATAAATAAACACCCCAAACAGGGGGGCCATGGCATATGGATGTGGAAAAAAGCATGTGTAGCTGAACATCTCTTCAAAGCACCCATGCTGGCTCTCCTGAGCTGTTTCCACTCGACCACCCGACATCTTGTCAGACTTCTCTCCTCCGGCGTGAGGGCTGCCACAACCTCTGGAGGGAAGTAACTCGGTCCGTCTTCCTTGGAAGGCGGCGCTGGTCTTTCAGAAATATTCGGGTTTCAGAACACGTTTCTTCGTGCTTGGTGGTTTCAACATACGGCGCCAAATGCATCTGTCCATATCACTGGATGCAAATGCAAGTCTTGGAGGTATCGTTTTAGGACGTCCCCTATCGTTTTTCGAGGAAAACACCAACACCCCAGTAAGAACTACATGACGATAGTTGTGTCTCTGACTCATATGCAATAGTCTATACTCCTGTGGCCAGGACCCGGCAGATCACCCCAAACACTCAATCCAATCCCATTGGGTCCGAGGACATCCGGTTCCGGATGCTCCGGGACCGCTTGACGCAGCCGAGCGTCGGCCATGCAATAAATGTCCTGCGAGCAACCCGGGGGGTGGTCGGATTGGATTGGTCAGACAGGGCATCATGGGGCATGATCCCCTGAAACTGACAGGTGGCCCCTTGCAAGAGAGTCCCCCGCCTCTACAATATATGCTTTACCATCTCCACAGCGCATTCACAGATTCGGGGCCAGGGGGGCGACGAAGGACGGATCGCCTTACAGGTCGGGAAAGTCGATCAGGTCAAGTACCAGGAGTCACAGTCTACGGGGTGCCGAACGACCGGAGGTAGTCGGGGTGCCCAGCTACTCACTGGATGGGACCAAACACCACCTCGTCTTGTGACCCCTGGTATATCAAGTTTTATAAGGGTCTTTGGACCTGTAGGGGATCGTTACTGAAATGATTCAACTCCCAGTTCCAATTTCTTCCCACCGGAGGGTCATAACCCACTGCTACCAAGGAGGTAAAACGAGTCATTAGGCGTTACTCGCAAAGAATCACACATCGAGCGGATGGAAACCAAGAAGTGAGCCCCAAGCATCTCTACAGTGCCAGGTGTCCCCTGGCATCTAGGGCAGTGTAAGCTGCTTGGAGGTTCCATGGGGTTCCAGCATGTTCAAGTTTCATGGTTGAAATATTGGATGAATCTATGTATAAATATGGCTAATGACGTTTCATTTCATGGTTTGGGTTGCATGGTTGGAACCGTTTCATGATTCAAAATGTGATTGCTGTTGATGTTCCTGGCTTCATGATTTTCAGGGAGTTCAACATGTTCAAACGTTAGCAAAATTCCACCATTTCGCCGCAGAATTGCGTTCGATCGCATGCCCATGTAGGATCATGTAGGTGTGTTCTCCATTGGCTGGGTGTGGGTGATGTGCACCTTTAAAGTATAAAAGCGCCGCTGACCCTTCAGTGTCCGTGGAACATGAATGTCATTGCTCAACGGTTGACCTTCCGCCGAAGCGCAACAAACTTTTGGACCGGGCCACGTACTTTCCCCAAAAAAACCACCCGCCTTGATTCAGTAGCCTTTACCGAACCAGGGGTTCCACTCAGCAACAACATGCTGCATGCTCCTCAATGGCGGTGATCGGACATGTGACTTCCAGCTGCTGTGGGCCCTGCGGCGCGGGGTGACGGAAGGCGGTGGGCCCAGCGCAGGAAGACCCGTTGAGGATCCCAGCAAGGTCGATGAATCTCACGTGCAATGGATGAACTGGGCACCGCATTCTCCCCCCCCCCTACTCGCCGCCCTACAGAAAACAAACAAGGCCGTCCAAGTCTATGGAACCAATCGGCCTGCAGAACTGGTAGGGGCAACTCTACAAATCATCATTTTCCGGGCCGAAGATGTCCCTAAACAAGCCAATATCATTGCAGGGGCCGCCTCAGGTCTTTATCTGCTTTTGTTGAGTACAGTGGTCTCAGAGCATACAAATATATGGAGGTCCGAAAAAACAACCTCGGGCGGATTGCGCAGTCCACTTTGAAACCACAAAAACCTATAGTTTGCTGGAACGCGCTTCGGCCGAGACAGACAAGGCAAACCTTCGGAGAGGAATCCACAAAACAAAGCGCCGCCCCAAACACCGCCGATTTTTTCAGGGAAACCTCCAGTGATCACCGAATGTAAGAGTACCAGTCGGAACTTTTGGAAAGTGCCCCCCCCAAGTTCTCAAAGACCTGTCATTCCTTGTCAACCCGAATACGAAAAAAAAAATTATACAACATATTAACAATGCACCCGACTTGAGACAGTGAGTGTTTTCGCGCCCGCCCGCTTCAAGCAGTGAGAGCTTGGTCCAACTGTGCATAGGGCTTTTGTCTACGGTCATTCGCAGCTTGACCAGGTGTCCGAAGCTACCCGGTGCACATAGCGCCACAACAAGCCATTTGTATACATCATCCCACAATTGATCCACAAGGCCAGTGTTGACCTGGACTTCACCGTTTCCTGCAACCTTTGCTTTGTGGTTCCAATCTCCCCGAGAGTGCGCACAAGCGAAAAAGTGTCAATCTTCCTTCCATCTGATCAAGAAGTGTCAACCTTCCTTCCATCTTGACCGTGCGTCACTCAGTTGACACTGGAAGCGGTGAAGAAGCACTCTGCTGCAAACACTCTGCTGTCAATAGTCTGTCAATGCCGGGGGGTGGCGCAAACCCAGAAAAGCGAACCTGATGCGTCAGCACATCTAAGTAAACAAACCTCATGTAAAGCAATATATGATCCAAACAGATTTTAAAACATAGATGATCATAGATGGTACAAATGCAAGCATCTTGCCCACCCCACATGGAGATTTCAAGTCATCTGATCAGATTCCAACTCGCTTTTCCCGGAGCCGCCGGGAAAACTTAGACTGGCTTTAGCGTGGGGCGTGCGAGCAGAACTCGCACCCGGGTAGTGCGGTGCGGTCCTCTAAACGACGCATGCAAGCACCTGGACCACCACCCCAAAGCTCCGTGACATACACATCAAGAATGCGCGACCAAATGGAACATACCCACTGAGTGTTCGATGCAAAACGACCAACCGCGTGCTGTTGTCCCACCAAATCTCCGAACAAGTAACGTGGCAAAAACACACCAAATAAGGCACAATACATGTACAATATAGAGGAACCGTTGGCAGAAATTTTTGCCGAGACGCCATTGTGCCCTGATTTCAGCCAAATTCATCGAAAAGCGCCGAGTCCAACAAAAAACGCCGAGGAATATGACAACTGCCGACTTTAATGGTTTTCATTTGCTAGATTCTCAAACCAGCAATTGAGAGATCTTGCCAGTCTTACCAAGCCCTTCCCAGCCCTTTCCCAAACCAAACCACAGGGTGACCATTCACAGTTTGGGCTTACATGTGAGGACCGAGGGATTGGCATCCACAGTTTGGATACCTTGGAATCCTTGCACCTGGGGACAGAGATATTTAATCCACAGTTTGGGAGTGCTTACAAAGAACACACTTAAAAGTGATCCAACAATGTTTGTCTAAGTCTATGCGCCTTGGAGGGGTTTTCCGGACCTCCTTGATATTGCCCCTACTGTTTTCTTGAAAGGCCAATCCAGGCAAGCCAAGTTCTGTCTTTGCTTCTCCGGATCACTCTCCAAAGAATGCTTTACCCTTTCATGATCCAACCTCCCTTGACAAGGGTGGTGGCAGAACAGCTGCAATCCACAATTGGGTCAACAAAAAGATCTTTCCAGTGCAGCCATCCAAGATGTTGATTCATACATAGGAACCCCAACAAGGCAAAAACATGGTTATGGACAATTGCGCCGAATTGTCGGGGAATTACGCCAAATTGTCGTGGATTTACGCCGAATTATCGGGCAATTACGCCGAAATCTAGGGATGACAAAACGATTGAAAACTGTGAGCAACTTGGCTGAGACATGCTGAGACGATTTCACGCAAGGGTGCCCGATCCGATTGGTTCACGGTGAGTTTATGTTGAATTATGCATGGTCAATGCACAGTCTTCTAACTTTCACCTTGGTGATGGAATTAAATCTCTCCATTCACCAGGTATGTTCAGCAGCTTTGTGCCACTGTAATGGGAAATCAGAGCAGAAGGTTGCGTCGGGCCACAGAACCATTTAAGCATTTCCCCCGGGCCTTCTCATTTCTGTAATTTTAATAAACGGTTTCCTTGATCGGATCCAAGGCTGGATTTGAGTTTTACAATGAATCCGTAAGCCAACAATGCTTGGCAAGAGTTAGGAACTACTGAAGAAAAACACTGGGCGTGAACAGCCAGGGCGCACCTCAAGAATGCCTGGTTCACCAGGTATTTGAACCCCTATAGAGGATTGTCGAGCCGAGTTATCAATACTTTTTTGTAATTCAGATTGGTTCTGCATCGAATAAACCAATTAATATGTTCAAGAACCTCAAAAACCAAAAACGCCGAGTCTATCTTGGTTTTAGAAAATTACGCCAAATGCACCTTTTCAGGGCAAATTACGGGTAAAGGCGCTTTTGCTGAGGTGGCAGAAATTTTGGTGCACTTGGAGTCTCTGGTATACACAAAAATAAACATGATACATGTCTCTATCTCCATTGGTTCCAAAATGGTCTTTTCACCGAGCACGGCCGCGTCCTGCTTGACCCACGTTTCAGTGCCTGACCGCTGATCAACATCAAGGTCTGCAGAAGGTTGTCCATGCGATAGAGTGCACGGTCCGCACGCTCCCAGGTGCCTTCTTTGAAGTATACCTGGGTGCGTGGTGGCGAATGAGAGAAACACGACCAGACCTGGATCACACGCTAGCATTTAGTTTGTTCTGTTTGATCTTCAAGTGCGTGGGGGGCACCAATGCTGGATTTGGTTGCGCATGATTTTGATTACAGCTATTCTACTCTTGTCAGAAAGTTCGATAAACACTGGCACAAGGACAAGCACTCGTGGCGCGTTAGTTAGAACTACGGTGAAGCTGCCCTGATCATTACTGAAGGATGTGTATGATGGCTTCGGGGGTCGCGTGGTTTGTGGAGATCCCTTAACCTCTAAAGAGCTATCAAAAACCAAACAGGGGGTGCTCTGGTATGGGCTGCCCAAACGTCATAGGCTACCCAAACACTGCATCTAAGATCTACACAGCCTGCCTGAAACAACCACCCCTGGCCTGATCATATGCCAGTCCCGGTCTGGGATAGGATCCCCTTTCTTAGACTCGTCCTTTTGGTCGCCGGTCGACCGGGAAGTGGTTTGCGACTCCGATCTGCGGAGCGACTCCGTGGAAGGCCGGAGCAGAGCATGTTCCGAACACCGTGTTCCGGTACCCATTTTGGTGTTCGGATATCTGGGAACGGGACAACAGTGTACTTCTTACGCCGGTTTTTTTTACGCTTTCCCAAGTTCTCCAAAAAGGCAAAAGGTGTTTGAAGCTTTAGAGACCCTTCGTTGTTCTTCTCAGAGACCATTCTGGAAGACTTGCGGCTGGGAGAGAGAGAGAGAGAGAGAGCTCGATTGAATTCCTAAGCGACGTCGTTTGAGTTTGACGTCTCAGGTTCCCTGCAGGCCATCTGCCCAGTCCCCTAGCCCAGGTGCACACGGGCAGCCAGCGTTGGTGGCACTCTTTGCGAAGTCCTTCAACAGGGCCTGCAAACCTCCACAGTGTCGCTCAAAGCAACCGACAGAGCGTCTCTGCCCAGGAACCGGAACATTAATGATTCACCAGAAGGGTATTCATCTAACCCAAACACGACTAATGGGACTGCCCTAGGACTGCCGATCAGGCCAGGGGTGGTTGACTGGGGGTCTGGCCTGATTGGCAGTCCTATGGCAGTCCCAGACAGGTCGTGTCTGGGTCTTGGGTTTTCTTGCGATGCCAGAGTCGGTGCTTCGCCCAGGAACCCGGTTCCCCAGATCCTCATCCGATCCGACGTCGGGTCGTCTCCCTCTGCTCGGACCATCCACCACACCCTGATCTTCTCTGGACTCATGGGTTTCGGAATCACCCACATGATGCATTGAACAAGCTATGAGGTTTTTGAGAGGCCCATTGACCTGAAAACATGACCTGGACCTGGATCATCCCTCCGCCATTCATATGGATTGTAAAGCCTCTTCCTGCGAGGGGTTACTAATCTACAGTCTACATGGACCCTTACAGCATCTTAACACTATAATCAATACCATATTCCCAACCATCCATGTCTTGGATGGTCTTGAGCTGCTATTGACCATCCAGTTCGTGGGCAACCCTTAAAACATCTCCAAACCATCCATCCGTCTGGCAACTCCAGTCACTCTGGTCTGGCACTGTGTCCATCCACCGAGCCGGTCGGCGGCCGCCACGCGACGCGACGCTTAGATCCAGTCTCCCGTTTCACAGAATAGATGACCCCTCGCTAGGGGCGCCGCAGGCTGCGGGGCACAGGAGAAGAAGATGTGCCCATGTAAATTCTTAGATGTGATATAGAAGGTGTTTGGGGTGGGTTTAGAGAGTCCAAATACCTTCTGAGGAGAACGACTGGAGCCCTATAGGGTGTGATATTTATGGTCTTGTTTGCGACCCCTTCTTTCCAAACGGCGACTTCTCGACGTTCTTTCCCTTCGTTCTTCGGAGACTCGGTGTTGTTCTTTTTCTTGCCCGACACTTCCTGGCGGCCGATTAAGAGGGCCTCCACTGGAGCTCAGACAAATGCACACTTCCAACGCACGGACCCTCTTCACCTGGGCCTCTTGGACCCACAACTCCCCTCCACACGATCTATCTCCACTCCAAGGCACGCGACTTCTCCGCCTGCCGTGACCTCACAGCTTCGCCCAGAAAGAACCGAACGACCAACGGAACTTCTCCGTTCGTCCCGGGGACGGTCGGCGTTTCCGGGCGCCGGACCGGTTCGGTTCGACCGTGGTCCGCTCCAACACGGGAACCGTTCGGATTGGACCCCTGCGGTGGTTGAAATGGGTTGGAGTCCGATGTGGTCCGTCCTGCCGCAATGGATGTTTTTTTTTTTTTTTTTGTGTGGTTCTCCGTGAAATGGTAAAGCTAGCGCTGGAAAGAGAGCACGACGTCCGAAAACACGACGTCCGACATGCCAGGCAGCCCCTATACTTACCAAACAAAACCCAGACACTCCATGGGACTGCCATATATGCCTACATTGGGGTGGTTTTGGGGATCACTGTAGGCATATATGGCATACATGGAGTGTCTGGGGAAATTCAAGAACGTCACCAGCTTTCAGTACCGAAGGCACGGACCGCTGCTGCTGGTGGAGCCAGTCTTGGCCAAGTAGGCTGACAAGCACTCGTCCGAGGCAAACGCCTGGTAGTTGGCCTCCCGCTCGGCCGAACGCGGAACAGCGGACGACCTCGGACGAGGCAGGAAGGCCACGCGAGCTTCGGGGAAGGCTCGTTTGCGGTTTGCAGGTGCATGGTTGTTATGGTATAGTGTTCATGCCCTTTCATGCCGAGATGTGGTACAACGTTAACTAAAAATTGACAGAAGTCGAGGATGTCAGGTCCAAACCTGAGAAACTGACTTGAATTCATTGAAAACTGCAATTAAACTGAACACAGCGCGTGGTGAGTTATATTACCACTAGACCTTTACAATGTGAAGTACAGCAAAGGAACTTCTTTAAACACCTTACAGCAAAGGAACTTCTTACAGTACGGGGCATTTGGGGCAGGGTCTACAAAGGACACTTTTTCGTGGATTTTGGCTTCGTTTGGGGCTTCGTTTTGGCTTCGTTTGGAGGCACCACATTTTATGCACTCCAAGAGGGTACACATGCAAACATCCCACCAAGAGGCTTCGTCTTTGGTTTTCCGGGATCGTTTTCCAAGGAATGTGCAAGATTCTGCAAGATCTCACCAAATGATCAATTTTATAAACATATATGTATATAAAACCTGACCGCTATGATTTTGACTGTGGCTCATAAATGGGAACTACCAGCAGCATATGGTCAAACATGCCATTCTGGACGCCCAAACAACGAGAACCAAATTGCTGTTCCACGCTGAGATCTTTGCAAACAAATGGTTTTATCGCTTGGTTGCTTGCTTGGGTTTGTTTCCAGCCAGAACTCTCTCTCTCTCTCTTTCTCTTCTCTTCTCTCATCCGTTAGGCTGGCCTGGAGTTCCGCTGGTTTTCTCCAAAAAGGATGCCTTGAGACTCACCACGCACACAAGGACCAAGGATGTCTCCCCTACCCCCACCTCTTCCAACCTCCGACCGGCCCGACTCGCCTCAAAGGTTTCCTCTGGCCCAGTGCTCGCTGCACAGCAACAGGCGAACCTCGCTGGGATGGACGAAGCCGGCACCCACCAAAACAGAAGGCGCTCACAGGATTTGAGGAGGTTCCTTTTTTGTAGGAGGTTCCTTTTTTTTCCAATCTTGGATGTCACATTGATGCCACCAGTTCGTGAGAATAGCCCTGGCGGAGATGGGCAGCGCACACACATGACGGAGGATACAGTACATCTTACAGTATAAAGTCATCGAATATTGAAATTGCAGCAACTCCTGGCTGTTGATTCTCTAAGCCCAAGCCGTTTTCTTCTTTTCCTCTGTTATGTTTTGGTGGGGGCGTGGTGGACAGGGTTTGGAAGAGTTTCTGGGGCCAACTGCTGTGTGAAGGCTCCTTTCCTTTCCGAGACACTCCAACACCCTACTGGGTGCTGGAACTCCAGATCTGGAGGTGCCATTTCTCTCATTGATCCGAAAAGCATTCCTATTTATATAGTTGTATCGGTTAATATATATATATATATATATGAGAGCCTGAGCGACCTCGGTGTTGATAGGAAGAGACCATATGTTGAGTGCTTGGTGCAAAACTACCGGTCACTCAGGCTCCAGGTGAACAAAAACGACGTCTAAAAATCCGCCCTGCTGGGAAAAAAAAAGCGGCCAACTCTCCCAGGTTGACTGGTGGATATGAGATGCCAAGCCGTGAGTCTTTAACCCGGGGACCAGCCGCCTGACCACAGAACCGGCGTGATGAAACCGGCCTTGATGGCGCCAGGATGCAAACGGGCGATTCTACCCCCCCCCTCCGCAGACGATCACATGGAGCATCGGCCCTGGGTGGTAGAAGATCATGTTCGGCCCATACCAACCGGGCGTGCTTGGTAAAGGGGTTCCATGTGAGGTTCGATCCTCTGTCCTCCAAGCCGCATGTCTGGGGGTCACCTCGGCAAGAGCGCGCCCGACTCCACGACTTGTCGGCTGACCGTGCTTCGTTCCGCGGGGGGGCTGTCGACAGAAGCAATGGGAAGCCCTTAATCTCTATAGGGCTCCAGTCGTACCTCCTCAGAAGGTATGACTGGACCCTCCGAATCCACCTCAAACACCTTCTTAGAAGATACTTGGAGCTCTAGGTTTCAGAGTAGATGATGGCACTGGCACCCAAAGATGTCTGTAAAACAGGGGGGGTCCATCAGAAACCACCTTGTGGATATTGCGCCATCTACTCTGAAACGGCTCGAAAACTGCCCGGTCTCCACATGGGCAAAACTCCAAGTCCATCCTGACGACGAAAAGCCCATGACACACCCACAATTCCTTTGTGACTCCTGGGAGTTGATGTTTGCAACAAAAACCCAGAGAGTTGGAGGAACAAAGCCACTGGTCAATGTGAACCTCCTGCGTGTCGATGCATCTTTGCAATATGCAGAAGAGTCGCATGGGCGCGCATGAAAACAATCTCACATACAACCAGAAAAAAACCATGGATGCATCATTAATGATCGAGCTTTTCAAGTTTAGTGGACCATCTACTAGTAGAAAGGACACATCCTATACTTTCATCAAGCCTCCTCCGTTTCCCCGCTCCAGTGCTTCTTCTTCCTTGGCACGGGACGAGGAGAACCGAAAGCGCTCAGTCAAGCGGGCAGCGGACGAGCCGAAATGGCTCCAAGGACCCGCAGCCAGCGGGATCTGCATATCAAATCAGCGGGATCTGAAGTGGGATCTGAACTCAGTCTTCCCCACTCAGTCTTTCAGTGGGATCCCAATTTAGTGGGATCTGAAGTGGGATCTGAACCCTTGGAACTGGTCTTTCCAGACTTCACTCGATGGGTCCTGGCTCCTGAAGCCAGACGAGTCCGGCTTGCCCGACCATGAAAACCATGCTATGGGAATGGATCATGACCCAGTTTGGAGCCCCACCAGTCCACCGGCCGCGAACGACTGACATCATAGGTAAACACCGGTCGGTATCGTTGAAGAAAAGCCAACATGGCACAATCACCCAGTTCGGATGACTGGATGGTGAACGGATGGTGAGCGGATGAGTCAGGTGGCTTTATAGACCAACCAAGCTGGTCGGTGCTGGTCTATGGCTGTAGATCGCAACCAAGGAATGCGCAAAAGATCATCAATACTGTTTTTGCACTGTTTTCTCGAGCTCACTATATATATCAACACTATCAACATCAATGAATCAACTGCCTTCTGCATTTGCTGAACTATCTCAACAAACCGCCTCACCAACGGCACCGATTGGCCTTTAATTACTAGGCGTAGGAGGGTTGCCCAAGATGACCACAAAATTCTTCAAGTTCAGAGTTGCGAGTGCTGAATTTTGCGCCAACAAGCCTTGAGATTCACAATTTTTCATCAACGGGGACGTGTTCGAAGCGTGGTTTTGCGAGAGCTTCGCTGGGAATGATACATGAAATGAGCTGAACAATGGCAAAAATGGATGGACATGTTGTGTTGGGCAACGTGGGCAGTCGATTGAGGTCTGCCAACCAAACTGTTAGGATTCCTCACCATTTGCTAGAGTCCTGGATGTTACTGGACTTGGTCTTCTGCACAACTCTTGTTTCAGGAGCCGTCTTCAACATCATCTATACTGGAACACTCCAGGTCCATGGAACTGCCATATATGCCGATCAATTAACCCCCCAAACCACCCCAATGTAGGTAAATATGGCAGTCCCATGGGTCGTGTCTGGGTATACTGGAACACTCCTCACCGTTTTGTCCCACACCGTTCCAGCCGTTCATCGTTCAGTCCTGGGGGGCTCCCACCAACACCTCCGTCGCACCCTCCGTACGGCGCGGCGCGTGCTCTCCTCCTCTTTGGGCGGTTGCACTACCCGCGGCCGACGACGATGATCCGTCCTGAGCGGTGGCTGGGACCGGTGGGTGGGGCCACCCGAGAAGCCCGAGAAGACGCTCCCTGAGCTGATGGATGGCAAGCACTAGAGGCGCTCCTCTGTGCCAAGAACATCATTCCTGGAATCATCTGGAATCCGTGAAACCTACCTTTAATTTATGTTGCAGTTCTTGGTCCTGACTGACTGTTGCAAGCTCGTGGCCAAGGGTCCGGCTCCTGGGCTCCTACCATGTGACCAATTGGGGCAGGACGCTTCACGCATTCACCAACGCTTCAGGCCGACACTTTTCCTCCTCATGGCCCCTCAGTGCCTTTCCCCGTATCTCACGATACCAGCAACTAGTACCAATTGATGCCAAAGTATCTCAAGACACTCCATGGGACTGCCATATATGCATACATATGCCAACATTGGGGTGGTTTGGGGGGGTCAATTGATCGGCATATATGGCAGTTCCATGGAGTGTCTGGGCCCTTGGAGTATCTCAAGACCCCAATGTCCGACTTTCACCTGCAGCCACGATGCTGAGAAGGACAATGCTTCGAGAACAATAAGGGCAAGGGCAAGAGACTGGGCAAAAGTAGCAAGACCCTATGGAACCACATACCTTTTCAGAAGGTACTTGGGCCCTCCTGGCGCCTACATATATAAATAACTATAAATATCTCCCTGCCCACCTTCTGAAGAGGTACTTGGATCCCCATAGAGAGAGAGAGAGGGAGAGAGAGCGAGAGAGACACTTGGTGCAGCAGGGGGGACTGGTCGGAGGCTTTGGGCGCACTGCCCAGGACGCCAACCAACTTCGACGGAAAGGCGTCCGACCCCACAAAACCCCAAGCGCCGAGGGAGTCGGCACAGGCATAGACCAAGCAGAGGCCGACTTGAAGCATGCGCGAAAAAGGCATTGCTTTGCCTTGTATATAGATGGGACCCGGCATACATCGAATCAGCTGTCGGAAAAAAAGATAAAACAATATAAAACACACATCATGGCATCCCTGTGTGTACCAGCACTCTCTTTCCTGTGTTTCCAAGTTCAGTGCCCAGTCGTTCTGTCCACAGCGTGGTTGACCATGCTTCACCACTTTCTGGAAAAGCACATGGCACCTCTACAAACCACGCCCGGTTTGTACAGTAGTAGAGGAAAGAAGTTCGGAAAGAAGTCTTCCTTGATTTCCTTGCAATAAGTCCACGCCATCAGTTTCCATGTGTATCTGCGTACATGTTCACCCAGAGGCGCTCCGCCGCTCCGCTGAAACAAGGCCCCCCGGCAGGCTGGTGGGTGGAGGCATGGCCTGAACGGGCGAAGGACCCGATGGTGGGAAGTCTCAGGGAGCAATGAATGGGTGGGAAAGCATTTTTGGAGCACCCAAAGGCCACAGAAGTTTTGCAGTCACAGACCACAAGCTTTAAGCTTTGAAGTCGATCTCTAAAGCTTCGCCCCACGGTAGGGAGAACCATATAGATGCATTCTCTACACAAACGTTTTGGGCAAAGACTTGCCTGCTAGATTCATTCAGGCTTCGAACTGCAAATGGTTCAACTCCTGTCAGCTGGACCTTCTTGGCCGGTTGGCCCAAAAGAGTTGTTGATCTATGAAGTCCCCAAGTCAGCAAGCCATATGGACTTGACCCAGTTAGTGTCACCCTGGAGTGTAGAGGATGTTCACTCGTGGTTTGAGGCTAGTTTGGTCGGAGGAGAGAGCGCTCAGTGGGTGTTGCTCGCGAAGGCCCTTTAGAGTTTTGTAAAGGGTTCTTAGGGGACTTAAGAGAAAATGTAGTTTGGCTCTGACAGAACATGTCTGCCCGAAAAACCTCCAACCCCTCCAGTGAGATTACCTCTACCAATCTCTGCTTGCAGCAGTAATTAGTATGAGACCTTCAGAGCCATGTTGGCGTGAAGCAAGTGATGAATTGGAAGCATGACACACACACAGACAAAGCATGATCACCACTTTATTTGGATACACCTGTTACACTCCTACACACGATCACACGCCACCAACCACCTGGTAAAGAAACATCATCAAAACAACTTCCAAACCTTCGTTTGAGTGATGAAGACTGTGGAAGGACACAAAACTAACTAGCCAAGTGCGGTTCAGTATATCGCACACGTCACCCACCAATCATAAGTCCATGAACCATGCAGGTCCTAAGAACATCATGTTCTACAAAGAGGCTTTGTTCTACTTCCATGCGAAACCTATGGGAGCATATAATTCCTCCTAGAAACATCGAATCCGGAGTCTTCCGATGTCACCGGAACTTCCCAGGACTGTGGACATGTCCTTCGTCACTTCATCTTCTGTGCAGTGGCGAAGGACATGTTTTTTAGCGCCCCGGGCAGTACACCCCGAAGTCATCCATGGTTAGTGGGTTTTCAGCAAATGGCACTGGCACCCCGAGATGTCTTTGAGATGGGGTTCCATATCAACCACCGACATTGGGGAGTGTGCCATCTTCTCTCAATCCACGTGGATGGGACAATGGCCCCCCGAAAAAAGCCGAAGACCGGTCCCAGGTGTAACCACGAAACCATGGATTTCTTTCAGGCCGGACCCAGGTCCAAAACCCCAAAACCTGAAAACCATTGAACACCTCATGTTTCGTAGTGTAGCGTTCTTTTTGTTTGGTGGGGGGGGGGTATCATCAAGTCCAGTAGAATGAGGTTGAAATGAATTCTATAGGGAGGGAGTGTAGGGTCAAAGCGATCAAGCTGAAGTTCCAGATGACTTGCTGGAGTCCCCCGGCTCCTCAATGATTGACGCTTCGGACCCCTTCATTCCGCTTCATTCGGCATGCTTGCCAGCTGACAACTGTCTCAGTGCTCACCAGGTGTCATCAAGGTGTCACCAAAACATGACGAAACAAACACAAACATAGAGAGAAGGAGAGGGATCCGCCGACCTCAGGGGCGACTTTGGGGAGTTCATCTATGTCAATCTTCCAGTCCCATGGATGGTCTGGGAGCTGTTCTCCCTGCTGGACCATCCCCGCTTCCCAGCTCCGCCAGCTCCGCTCCCCAGCCGTGTCCACGATGATGGCTTTCCCCTCGGTGCGTGGCCGTTGACCGGCAGAGTTCGGCCGGTGCAAGCTGAGGGAGGGTCATGGCGCCAAGCGCCTGGCCGCCACAAGGAAGTGACCATTAAAAGGAACACAAGACGTTCAGAACATCTCAGAACCAGGTGAATTTCACCATGTGAATGTATCTGTGGCTGTACTTGTATAATACTTTTTGTTCTTTTTGTCCACTCTATTTCTATATAAGTCAAGGGTCACTCAAAAACACACCAAACAAACGGAAGGGCACGTTGGTCTATCGTTTTACATACATCCCCCACACATCCCCCTCTGCAGCACCATTCGAAGGAAGGGTCTTGAGAGAAATGGCTCTTTCTTCACCAGCATGAGTCACCCCAGGGCTCCAGTCGTACCTTCGTTTCGGTTCGGTGAGACTGGGGTGGGTGCCAGTGTCGGGTCCAGTCATACCTGAGGAGGTACGACTGGAGCCCAAACGGGTCAGAGTTGCCAGTCCAGTCGACGCAGAACGAAGTCCATGCCCCGTTGTTCCAAGGCGCTCAGCGCTCAAAACCTGATCCTTGGATCCTCATTTTGCGTGAGGATCCCATGAACCTAATCTATTTCTACCAATCAATCCCCGGGTTCAAGATCAGTCTCACTCACCCCCTGAAGAAAGTGCTTTGCAAAAAAGAACGCGCGGCCCCTGGGTGGGACACCCCCCCCCGGCCAAGGTCGCTTTCCCCCGCGCTTTCCGCGCCCTTCGCTCGGCGTTTTTTTGGTCGCGTCGCGAGTCGCGTCGAAGACTGGGTGAAGCAGTTGGCTGGGCTGGGCCACAGGGTGGAGGAGAGCAACAAAGGTCGTGTCGGATAGATCTCAATCCCAAACACTCCATGGGACTGTCCAGCGAAGCGGCGCAAGAGCGTCAAACACGAAAGGTTGGGCTCGATCGAACGAAGTCGAAGCGGCACGGCACACAAAGCACCGATTTATGGCAGGCGCGCGTCAGCACCAAGGTGCTCAAGTCGTGAGCTAGAAAAAAGGGGCCCCTGAGCCAACAAACACGGTCATGTGTGAGTATGGTGAGGTTTCCATGTTATCCATGCAGGAGCTCATGACCGAATCCGTTGCACGGGGAAAAGAGGACATCAGTGATCGGTCCTCAGCGATCACTGAAGCTACAGGCTCAGGAGGCTCCGGCATCATCTCAAAAGCGGTCGTCGAGCACAGCGCATCAGCTTGCCGAAGAGCTCTGTCGATCTTGTCGACTGCCGTCAGGCCCAGCTTCTTGTTCTTTTTGGCCGCCACGAAGTTGGGATCGTAAGCGATCGTCCAATGCCAGGTGGCCATGAATTTGAGGAGGCCTTCACGACTATCGGCCTTTTTCTTCGTCATGGAGTCGGCCAAGTCGTAGTCCGAAGCGAGCCACCTCAATTCGCTGCCACATCTTCGCAAGTTCTCGCGAAGTTGGAAGGCCTGGAGCGCTGCCCTCATGTTCGTGAGCCCCAAAAGCGGGCTCTCGTTGGTCTCCACAGCGTCGTAGCCACCACGGCTGTCGGTGCAGACAACTCCCTTCACCTTCATGGCCTGGAGCTCGGAGGATGCCACCAGATCTCTTCGAAGGTCTCGATGGTGGAATCCTGCTCCGTTGATCTCAGACCACAGCAGGCGTGCTCGAAAGTTGCTGTCCTCTGACTCCAGGACTGCCTGCACTTCAGCATCGTTGGAGGCGATGGCCTTTCTCTTCAACTTCCATGTCTTCCACGTCAAAAGGACCATCGGTGAAACATCGCCTGACAAACTGTCAGGACCAGCCAGGAGGGAGATCATTCCTCCCGTGCTGTCGCCCTTTGGCCTGTTGCTGTGGGCCTGGTCTCCCATGGTGATGACGATGACGTCGGACCAATGCTTCACCTTGGGAGGTCGAAAGAAGCGAAGCCGCTGAGGTTGGACACGGACCTCGCTGATCATGTTCTGGATCTCTCTTGCATGTGTGGTGGTGCCCTCAACCAAGATCTCCGTCAGGAGAAGGTTGCACCGGGAACATAGTTGTGGTTGCGTCTGGATGGCCAACCACTGCAAGGATCCAAGTGCCGTTCGGCAAGAGGCAATCTCCTGAGGCGTGAGTGCCTGATCAGGAGTGCGAAGGCGCTGCACAGAGACTTCCAGGTCAGGTATGCCCTCGATGTAGGCGTCCTGATCGATCTCAATGCGGAAGGTGCCGTCAGCCTGGTCGATGGTGTTGATGTCAGTGCCAGCATGACGGTACGACCGTCGCTTGATCGTGCCCCACTGGTAGGCCTTGTCGATCTTCTGGCAAATCTCAACCCACTCAGGTGACTTGTTGTTGCCAACCCTGTGAAAGTCGTCCACGTGTCCTCCCATCGCGCCGAGCAGAACGGGAGCCGAGGTCACCGGGTCAACTTCATGCTTGCTGAACCAAAGCCAGAGGCATCGCTCGCCAACAGCAGGGACTGCGCCAAGGCCAACAAGAGTTTTGTGCAGGTCGAGCCATAGACCTCTTGGAGCTGTTGTTGATATATTGCGCAAGATGCGAAGGAGAGCGTCTTGAGGTAGCCCCATGGCCTCCTTAAGTTCAGAGACTCCTGATGTCCAGAGCCGTTGATCGGCTTCAGTCGGTTGCGTCTGCAGGAAGGCGGTCGCAAGATCAAGGCCGCAGATCTCCCATTGGTTGACCACGGAGAGGAAGTAAAGCAGCGATCTTCCAAGTCCGCTCTGGACAGGTGCAGCTGTTTTGAAGTTCCTGTCCATCAAGCTTGGATGCTGGAAACCAAGGAGTACGATGCGAGCCTTGGCTTTCTTGGTGGCCTGAGGATTCACCACCGTGTCCGGGTTGTTGTGGCTGTCTTGTAGTGCTTCATCACGTTCATCAGGTGGGATAGGTTTCCACGTGAGGACCCACCTGGCCTTCAAGATCCTGCCACTGCCATAGGCCTCGCGGACCTCCGCATCGTCCAAACATTTGCGGACTGCACTGTTCTTGAGGAAGGAGTTCACTTCCTTCATTTTGGCACGCTGGAAGAGGACCTTCTCGAGGTTGCTCAGGCGCTGCAAGGACACTTCAGAGTTGTTCAACTTCTTGGCCATGTAGAGGACGGGGTTCCGAAGAAGAGCCTTCTTCTTGGTATTAGTCTCAGGCTCCACATCGATGTGCATGACCAAGACGTCCAAGTCATCTTGACATTCGGTGAGGTAGCTGAAGACTTCATTGTTGTCAATCTCAGAGTGAGATTTCAGCTCCTCCACCCACTTCAGATCGTACTCACTGCGAGCTCTTTTGGGATCTCTCTCTGAAGGTTGTGGTTCATCTTCAGGAGGTTCATCAGCAGCGGCATCAGGAAGACTCGGGGTGTAGTCTTCGTAGTCATTGGCAGTTTCCTCAGCCTCTGGTAGGGCCGAGTTGGAGGGCCGTGCCGAGCTCGAAGCGTGAGCAGGAGGTACAAAGTGTTGTACTTCACGATCTGGAGGTTGTAGTCCCAATGGACTGCTGCGGTGTTTCAGCTTGTAGTCGGAGGGCTGCAGCGTAGACTTGCCAGTGGCTCGTCGTATTGGAGCATAGGTCGAAGGATCCGGAGAGAACGGAAGGTTCGGGACTTCAATCTCGTCCTCCTTTGGGAGTTCATCCAAGAGGTCAGTGAACTCTCGCTTGGGCAGGATGTCTGCCAAGGATTTCCACTTGGTGGGATCTTCATCGGCTGTCATCTCGTACTGGAGGCGCTCAACCTCGGTCACTGGCCGAACGCTGTGGACTGAGCATCTGTAGATGCGACTCCCGATGAGTACCCACAGGATGTGTCGGCGAGGATCACCTTCTTCTTGATGTGGTAGCACCTCCTGGAAGACAACTCTGCCAGGGCCAACCCAATGAGGTCGTCCAGACTTCTTGAAGCCGCCACGGCTGCCCTTGTGTTGATCAGCTGGTTGGAATTGTCGCCAGATCTTGACCAGCTGCATAGGAGAAAAAGTTCTCAAGGGCTGGCGAACCAGAGTGTTGGAGAGCTTGCTCAGAACTCTCTTTGACCTGGTCTTCACAGCGATCTCTTCAGCCTGTTGTCGGGCTTGAACGAGGCGTGCAAAGTCAGTTGAAGGTTCCACCTGCTCATACGTGCGGTGGTCCTCATCGGTCAGGGAATAGTGCTTCCCGAAGGCCCATTGCTGAGCAGAGTACCCAGCAGTGTACTCAGTTTGGTTCAGAGCTGAAGTGGCCAGAACCAATGTATGAGCCGGCCGAAGGTCCAGTTGCTCCATGTGGAGGACGGTTGCCACTTGCTTGATGTCCTGGATGCCAGCTTCTAAGATGCCATGTGCCCAGGGTTCCTTCTCAGGAGGGTAGTGCACGGCGATGTTGGACTCCCGCAGGAAGGTGTTGAAGCGATCAGAGGTGAAGCTTTTACCATTGTCAACTATCACCATCTCAGGCTTTGGGAAGACGGAGAGCCAGCGCTCAGTGAAGGCTTCAATGATGTGGTCAGCAGTTTCAGCTCGCATCTCCATGTTGGGGTACTCCATGATGGGCCAAACCACACGAAGCTTCGTAGCCAGATCCATCATGAGGACGAACTTCACCTTGTTCTTGGTGGCTGGAATCTGCCATTCTGCGGTGTCCATGCCAACAGCTTGCCATGCACTCCACATAGAGTGAGTGCTCGCCGGTGGAATGTTCTTGCTGGAAGTGCCGCCAGGTCGAATGGCCTCACAGGCCGGACATTTGTGTTCCAAAGCCAGCTCAGACTTCCAGGCTGGCTGACCGGCATTCTTGATCAGCTTGGCCAGGTTCTTGTTGGTAGGATGGCCAGCTGCCTTGTGGAAGTGAGCTACCCTTGCCATCCATTGTTTCTTTTCTTGTTCAGAAGGAACCTCCACTGGTTGTAGGGCTTCTTCAGCAGGAAGAGCATTGAGGGTGCCACCGTCATCGTCGGCAAGGAGGTAGAGCTCTTCATTCTCCAATGCAGCAGGTGAGTCCTGCTTCATGAAGAGGAGCCGAAGATTGCGATCAGACACCATCTCAGCTCTCCAGAATCGTGCCCAGGACTGGACAAGCTTCCAAGGGTAGTAGGCGCTCTTGGCGGTCTCGGCGCCTTGAATCAAGGTGTGTGAGTGGCCTCCATGGCATACCTTAGTCTTGTAGGTGGCATGGAAGTGTTCACAGGTGGTCTTGACAAGCCACTTCTTGTGAAGATGATGTTCACCTCGAGAGTCCATCATGCCATAGACGCAGCCATCGATGCGGCATGAGAGCCAGGGAATGTCCAAGGCTGCTAGGAAGGTCTCGAGGTCGACCATTGGAGGTTCTTGCCACCCTTGACAGGGATGAGTCCACTCGAAGTAGATCTTGGTGTCGGGAGCTTTGGAAAGGGTGTCCTTCACAAAGTCGTTCATGTACCAAAGCATCTTCCTTTCCTTCTTGCGAGCCTGCCGAAGTTCTTCAGGGCGTGAAGCATAGTTGAGGTAGGTCCAACGGCAGAACTTTGTGCAAGGAAGGCTGAACCAAAGCTTCCGTGGCTTCTTCTTAGATCGAAGGACTTTCATTCGCTCCCAAGTCTCTTTCCTGTAGAGATCATAGCCTTGTTCAAGATTGATGCGGCGAGGTTGAAGTCCTTGACGTTGGCATGCTTCCGACAGCCAACTGTGGGGAGCACATGCAATCTCCCAAATGCCATCATTGTCTCCCAAACAGAGACTCATAGTTGCACTTGCCATAGAGCTCAACAAGGTCGTAGCTAGGAGCAGCAGCTTAGCGCCGATCTTCAAGGGCAGAGGCATAGGCATCTTGGTAGAAGGACTGGATGAACTGGTAGTAGCACTCTTGGAAGATGGTGTAGTGCTCGGAGAAGCCTGTGTCATTTTCTTCCGGGATGAAGTGCCAGGGCTGCCCATCATAGAGCTCTTCAAAGGGCCTGTAGCACTCTTCCGTGATGTAGTCTTCACGCTGACTTGGCTTCCTGCTCGTAGGCAGATGCCAGGCTCCCGGATCCAGTCTCCATGTCCACAGCCAGCTTGGCTGCTGCCTTGCGCTCTTGAAGCATCTTCATCAAATGCTCCATCTCGCTCGGGTCCATGTAGTCCTGAAGTTCGACCCAATGCGAAGGTGGTGATGTCGGAGGAGTTCCCACCTTGTCCCATGATGGAGCCGGGCTCGTGTCGCGGCTGCTCTTCTTGTTGCCCTTCTTGACCTTGGTCATCTCCTTGTCGTAGAAGGGAGGCTTCTCGCTCAGCTGAGGCACTCGTTGGAACACCGGTTCGACCATTCCCTGCAGGGCCTCGTCGGCATCGATCTTCTTCTGCATCAGGAGGCAGATCGTGGCCGTCGGAGTGCGTCCTCCCATCACCTCGTACAGCTGTGTGAGCATCTTGATCGTCAAGGGTGGACTGTCGGTCTTGGTGTTTTGACCATGTGAGCCCACTCGTGGAGTGTACTGGAGGCGAAGGTTGCACGTGCTGCAGTGAACCCAGCGGCCGTGCGGATTGGCATGAGCCTTCATTGGGACATGTTGTCCAAAGCATGGCCATTGGCCGGGATCGGTTCGAGGATCCCTCGGATCTGCCAGCACGGTCCGCTTGTCGTCGAACGGCTGCGGTGTGGCCTTCTTGTCCGTGGCTGAGCGGATGTCCCACTGGATCCCCTCTTCCTCCAGCTCGCTGGCGCGTGGAGCTCGCCGGGCCATGGTCGAGAGTCGAAGCTGGGGAAGCGGGAAGCGAATTGGAATCAGCTTCTCCGCAGCGATGCATTGAAGCCAGGGCTGCACGGTGATCAAAGGGATGCAAGCTCAAGCTGCTCCGATGAAGTTGAAAAAGGAGTGCACGTGACTGTTGAAGCTGACTCTCATGAACATGGTGTGCATCAAAAACTGACATGTCATAGTACTCAACAGGGTGGAACTCCAAGGTGTGACATGCATGACTCACATCTGCAGAAACCCGAACCCGTGGATGTCCAGTGGACCTGGTTTGACCCATGGTGAGGTACTCAACAATGTCCATGATATAGTGACCCTTCCGATTGCATGGTAGTTGATATTCTTGGGGATGTAGTGCATAGGAATCCATGGCCAAACCTGTTCGAAAATCCACCAACATAGCTGAAGGGTTACCTGACAAGTGGTCCATGCCAATGAGAATGGGCACCAACGTGTTCCTGTCAAAGTCCGGGTGATGTAGGTTTGGGGGATTTGGCAATGCAAACAACTTGAAGGTGCGAGCACTCCCGGTGACAGTGCTCGTGAGAACCACTTGATAAAGTGCACGACCCCATCCACCGTTGCCGAAACGAAAGAACGGACGAGCATTCTTGTATACCTCCACGGACGCTTGACTGTCCTTGGTCAAAATGGATGAGACCAAGGCCTCGACTGCAATCTGTGGCCCGGCAGAAGCCGTTGCTCCGCAGTCGATAAGGCCCATGTGAGGTGCCATGGTAGCCACAGGTGATGTCGCTGAATGGACATCCAAGGCTCCAGAAAACTCTAAACCAAAAAGCTCGTTGGTGTAGGCATTGACGGAAGGTCGTGACATGGTCCCCTTTTTGCCCTTGCCGGACTTGGATGATTTGCCCTTTTGGAAAGCTTGAAGTTCCATCCATGAGGCAGTCTTGCCTTTCTTGCCCTTCCCCTTCATGTAGTAGAGCTCGTCAGTCATGTAGTGACCCTTCCAGCCCTTGCCCTTGCCAACAGAGGGATGCCGTCGATCGGGACAGTCTCGGGAGAAATGCGGGCCGCCGCAGGTCCAGCACTTGGTGGGAGAAGACCCCTTGCCTCCTCCAATCACATGTCCGAACCCGCGATCTTTCCGAAGTGCCTGAGTGGCACGTTGAGCTTCAGCCCATGAACGCTGGGCTTCCATTGCCAAGCCCTCGGCAATCTGCTCTGCCTTCTGGGCCTCCTTTATCGCATCGTCATCTTCCTCAGAAGCCTTCGTGCCCTCGTGCTCCTCGATGGCATAGCCCCATTCTTCATCATCTTGCCACCAGTCATCATAGTTGTCATCGTACTGGGCCACGTTGGCGTCATCCCACCAATCATCAGAAGGTGAGATTGCTTCTTCAAACATGGCCTCATGGGTCTTTGAAGGAGACCAACCACCAGCATGGCGACGTCCGACCAATTGGTCGTCCCAGAGAGTCTGTAGGGCCTTAGTGACAACCTCGAACTCGAGGCTGCCCTTGGTTGTGCTGATGATGTCTCGCATGTCATCTGGTGACAGTCCGGAGGCCTGCAAGAGACGGAAGCCACGTAGGACACCAAGGACGAAGCTGTCAGCCAGGCTCAACTCTGTAACACCAGGGAGGTCCCATTGAACTCCAGCTGAATGCCTCGAAGGTGAAGACGATGAAGCCACACGCGCATAGTTCCCGTGAGGCGAACCACTATCAGCAGCAGCAGCATGGGTGGAGCCCACAGGTGAGGTCTGAGTCTCCTCATCTTCGTAGCCCCAACTGGTCCATGGTTCCTCTTGTTCCCACTCCTCATCATCTGGCGGGAGGTCGAAGTCCAGATCGTGCTGCTGGATGCCATTCTTCTCTTCATAGAGTCTAATGATGGCCTCACTGAACTCAGCATAGCATAAAGCCTCTCTGACAAGGAAGCGCTGCATGCTTTCTCCACTGTTTCGTCGGAAGCTAAAGTATTGCTGGCAGATCGCAGCTGCATTGGGAAGCGATTGCCGCACCAGTGGAGAGGATGCCAACCTGCGCAAGAAATCTCGAGTTCCGCCAGCATGGTCAAAGCTGACGGATGTCCATGACATAGCAAGTAGCCTTGCAGGACCAGTGAGGCGTCCCACAAGGCGATGAGCGCAGTATCGCCGTTTGTGTGTTGGCGTGGATCGGACATACCAGCTCACTTCGCGATGGTATTTCCTCCACGTCCTTGCACTGCCGTCCCAGGATGGGACATGAATGTCCGGAGTCTTTCTCCGTCATGCCAGGCAAAATGCCTGAACCACAAGTGAACTCGCCAAAGAGCTCGGAGAGCAAGTTGAGGCACCAAGGAAGGCGTCAACCAAGTAGTTCCCAATGAGCCAAAGGCGCAGGGCCAAACCAAGCAAGCCAGGTGCCAAGACCAAAGTCGTAGAGCTCCAAGAACAAGTAGTGGCACCTAAGAGGAAGGCAAGCAGGCAACAACCAATGCCAAGCTCCTCAGGAGGGAGCACCGGCCGTCAGGCCCCGGAGCTTGTGCTCCGCTGCCAATCCAGCGAAGCGGCGCAAGAGCGTCAAACACGAAAGGTTGGGCTCGATCGAACGAAGTCGAAGCGGCACGGCACACAAAGCACCGATTTATGGCAGGCGCGCGTCAGCACCAAGGTGCTCAAGTCGTGAGCTAGAAAAAAGGGGCCCCTGAGCCAACAAACACGGTCATGTGTGAGTATGGTGAGGTTTCCATGTTATCCATGCAGGAGCTCATGACCGAATCCGTTGCAGACTGCCATAGGACTGCCAATCAGGCCAGGGGTGGTGCCAGGGGGGGTCTGGCTGGGGCGGCAGTCCTATGCCAGAAAAATGGATGGTAAGGACAACTAATATTACGCCAACATCAGACTGCCAACATCAGTGTCCTCCCACCTTTCTTCAGTTGTTCTGCTGTTTGTTTTCTGTCAGCTGCCCTGAGTAGAAAGGTTCTCAAATTGTTATCATCTTCTTCAACTTGTTCATGTGTGAGGAAGGATCCCAGAGAATGTGTATTGAAAGGCGAAGCAGCAAGCAGGTCGTCTAGCTGCCATAGCTCTGAAACAAACCGTGGACCCAAGAGAGTCATCCAAACACCTCCCTCCTGCACCCGCGTGGCCACCAGCGTCAGAAGCGCTCTTCTCCCTCGGCTTTGTTCCGGGAGACTTTGCCCTGAACATCCGCCAGGATGCGGCCGAATGGATTCCGCATCCGATTCCGCAGGTGATCCGAGCTGCGTATGGCTGACGGAAAGTCTGTGGAGAAATCGGAAGTCTGTGAGAACAACCCCCGATTCTCCACTAGACTCCCAACCAGGAGAGGTTAAGTGACCGTAAATAGGACCTGTTACCTGGGGTACCTATGGGATAGGCTATAGGGTCCTTCAGCCTCTGTTGGAAGTCTGCCTTTTCAGAGTGTGTCCAATTTATGGATGCTTCAACATCTTTGCAAAGGGTTGGCAGCCCACTGACCCCTGCAAAGGGAGTGCCCGCAAAGCACATCAATCGAAAGCCAAGGAAGGGATGTCGTCCTGCCAAGTTTGCTTCAGCGGAAAAGTAACAACTCGATCAAACTCTGGGCAAGGCTAGTAAAGATGGCACTTCTTCTAGACCAGCTGTATAAATGTTGGTTACTGGAGGAGATGGACGGCCCACTCTTCCAACATCTTCCAACTACATGACATACCGTAGGAAGCAAAAGGCACATCCTGTGGAAGTGC